TGTGATTCTCAATGATTTCTGTTATTCCCTTGCACCTATTCTCTTATCTGTTAGGTTTGGTGCCCTCCTCCCTCTAGCACAGTATTCTACCATCTCCATGCATCTGGAGCAGAGAGAATATATCTGTAGCAGCAGCACGCATGGTGGTTTTCTCTAATCTGGGTCCTAATGCTCCCTCTCCCTGGTCACCTCATGTTAAAGACAGTCCTGAAGACAAAAGAGCCACCCAAGTGCTTCTACCTGGAGCATGTCTTGCCTGATTTTTCAGACATGTCTTGCCTGATTTTTGGCAATCAAACCGCTCATTTCAATTGCAGGTAATCTTTGCCACCACCAGCACCCTTCCAAAATAAAGAGTTTCCTTACTGACTTGCAGGAGATACTTCTGCTCAAAAAGTAGTCTTTTTTACTTGTTAATTCAGTTGGCACAACTTGCTTAACTGGGTAATGGGACAGTTTAAAGTGTCACATGGATACATAGATCTAAGAGGGTCAATTTTAAATCCCTAACAAATCCAAATTTGTTCAGGTTTCACTATCCTCTCCCCGTCAATCCTCTTGGGCAAATGAAGCCATGGTTTAGATGAGATGGGGAAACTCTGACCCAACTAAGCCCACCAGGCTGGTTGATTTAGTCCAGGGCTTCCCAATTTACAGTAAATTGTCACAAGTGCCAATGAGGATGAGTTTGTTAGTCTGGGGGCCACCATACTTGAATCACAATGTTTGAAAAGTTGGCCAAAAATGTAGAAAATGAACAGTATAAATGTATTAATAAACAAAGGTTTTTGCAAAACAGAGTCATTTCATTTTGGCCATTAAGCTAGCAGCATTTTTCATTAACTAGAACATCGATACTTGGTTTTATTATTGGGTTACTCTCTCTCTCTCTCTCTCTATATATATATGTATATATATATACACACACACACACATACATACACACACACATGTATGCATGTATGTATGTATGTATTTCAAGATGATACCTGAGGTGATTTAATCTAGCAAGGCCATTCTGCTCAAAGTGCCCCAATTGTGTTTTTCTTTTTCTTCTCTCTCCTTCTGGAACATATGGTCTTTTTCTCATTAACTCTCCCTTCTCTTCTCTTGGCAGAGACCTTCCTGCCTCTGCTTAGCAGAGAGATCTTGCTTGCTTGCTCTTTTCCCCCTTCCTTGCCTGGCAGAGAGACCCTGGTGGCAGGGCAGCCAGACATGGCCCTTCTCCTCAGACCCTCCTCTTTCCCTACCTTGGGTAGCTTCCATCTCCTGGCCTCTCTTCCCTGAACAAGCCTTGCCCCCCCTCACTGTCTTTGCCCAGAAAGCTCCCTTCAGCTGTGGGAGAGTGGGCAATGCTGCTGGGTACATCAGGCTTTGAGGTGCCAAGTGCATTGCCTGGCCAATTGCATCAGCCTCTGCTGTTGTTGAGAGATTTCTGGAAGGTGTGTGAGGCTATTGCTACTGCTGTGCAGTGATCAGTGCCCTGCCAATGACTTCAATACCTACAAAGTATTCTTGTAGGCCCCAGACAATGATGTGAAGAGCTGCCTGTCATGATGAATTTGAGACCCTTGACCTAGCATGTGAACTTGGGCACTAGCAGGATCTAGCTGCATTCTTCAAAAACAGCTCTGTGGCATTGCACAGCAAGCAACACAACTTTTGTATGTCCGTGTGTCATTACAAAAGGATGGGGGGGGGGCGGTTGGCTTGTACTGTGCTGTTGCAATGCTGCTTTGATCATTCTGATCCTGTCTTGCCCTCCCGCAGTGGCTGCTGCTGCTTATCAAAACTTGGATGAAGCTCCAGCCTTCACCACAGACCCTCCTTTTTCCAAGCAGCATCTTCAGGCATGACTCTGTTTCCATTCCCCATACATACATACATATATATTACCTCAACCACACACACACACACACACACACACACACACACAAGCCTATACACTGTCCCTGATGGTGGTGATGCCGCTTGGATAAAAACTGTAAACCTAGCTTCAGGCAAAATTTAACACACGTTGATTCAGTTCAAGTTCCTGTCTACTTTTACAAAATACGCAGTACACTTAAGAGGGCAAACGGAGTGTAATTTACCTTCTAAAATATTGCTCCATTAATGTGCTAGATGGAAGACTAATTAAATCAATAGTACCGAAGTACTAGCATGATAATTAGTTAAACTTGATTTTCCTCGAAGTTCTCATGGTATTGTGCTTCAGATAGTCTCTTCTTTCCCTGTGTATAAAACTGAAGTGATTTTTTCATGTTATTGTTGTTTTCTGTTCAGTTAATTCACTGAAATGGAAGAATGGGAAGAGACTTTTTATATCTAAAACAGCATTTTTCATCTTCTTACTTCTGCCCTTGCTATCCTATTTCCATCTATGGATATGAGAATATGCAAGGAAGGATATTTTTATGTGTCTCCAGGGAAGACTGGATTGGGTGATTATTAAATAGCATAAAGAGATTTCCTCCTGAGTGATTTAAAATAATTATTCTGATAGCTTTTTATCTCAGCATATGAAATGAGTTTGAGGCCTTAGGTGTTTGTAGTATTAAACACAAGTCCTTCGTAAATAAAAGAAACTAAGCTACATAACTTATTTTGCAAAGTCAACAATTATTTATATATAGCTGCAAAGCTGAGGTTGGACTTGTTCCTAATCATTCATATGGTAAGGGGTTCTGCCCATACTAAGTAGAAAATCTACTACCAAAATCATTCCTTCTCTTGTTGGAAAAGTGGAAATACTGTATACTGAGCTCAGTGGGATTTACTTCTGAGTCAACACATACTGTATAGGATCATCTTGCAAGGATATGGTACACATGCCTTAAAAGTATTTAACCAATTCTGTTCAGCTTTTTTATTTTATTTTATTTTATTTAATATGGCTGCTCACCCCTTTTTTGCACCTTTGGGTGGCCAACAATAATTTAAAATATAATGATCAAATCCAAAACTTCAAATAAAAATTACCACCAAAGTAATGTTAATACCATGCAGCGAAGGTCCTCAAACCATTATATTCTGCAACCATATAGCTGGGTTCATCTAATATCCTGACCCGATGCCTAAGGGAACAATCAAGTTTTTAAACCTTTTTAGAGCATCGACAGGGTTGGGACCATCCACACTGTGAGGGGGATGGTACTCCATAGGTCAGGCACTGTGACAGAGAAGGCTACCTGATGACACTACTTCAAGGAAGGGACCCTTTATGTCTTTGAACTAGGTCCCAGTAAGTTCAATAGGCCATCTCATGAGTAAATGTGCATATCTAGAAAGTAAATACAATTAAATGTAATCTAATATAGTAGTTTAAATTCAGTATCTTCTTCTCCTAACTTATTTCCATTCCATATACACACTAAACTAAGTGCCCTTCAAAAGAGTACCATAAAGCTGAGCTGTGTATTTCTTGTGGGCCAAGACTCATATTTGATTTTTGAGTGCCACAGTCCTAAAATAAGCAGGGCCTGGAAAAAGAAATGGATGAAAACCATAAAATATGAAAATGAATCGAATTGCATTTATATTTAACTCAATTTTCATTTAATTAAAGATGGGTGATATGATTACTCTCCCATATGTAATAATTGGTATCTTCTGTTGCATTAAGCACTGACAGTGTTTGAAGAGGTTTTGGGTACTGTACCAAAGGATTTTGGGTGGCATGTATG